AATCAGCGCCATGGTAAGGGATGGGAGGGAGGGGTAGGACGTCAGATATGACGCGAGCGCACCTAGCTTGTCCTCCTCCCCCTCCCCCTCCTCCCCCTTATGGGGCTACGCAGCGCTGTACTGTGCGGTGGAGGCGCATGCGAACACCGCCACAGGGGCCTTCGGTGGAGCTCCCCATGGGGCCACGATGCGCTGAATTGGGGGGGGAGGACGCCTGCGAACATCGCGCCTGGGGCCTTCCGTGGAGCTCCGTGTGGGGCCACGAAGCGCTGCACGGCGCGAGGGAGGCGCCTGCGAATATCGCCACGGAGGCCTCCTGTGGAGCGGCAACGAAGCGCTGTGCCGACGGGGGGAAGCGCCTGCGAGCACGGCCGCTGCGGCCTTCGGTGGAGCTCCCCTTTGGGGCCACGGCTCGTGATGGGCGTGCCGGATTGGTGGACTGGTGCGGAGGGCAGCGGCAGGGATGGGAGGAGGGAGGCGGAGGAGGAGAGAGGAGACTCGGGGCGCGGTCTCTTCAAAGCGAGGGCCCGACACCACAGGATGGTGGGAGTTAGTTCAGGAACTGGTGAGCTAACCAGCCAGCCAACCAGCCAATCAACCATCAACAAACCAACCAGCAAACCGCCCAAGCAATCAACAACCAATCCACCAACCAACCCACCAACCAACCGCCGCCCAACCAACCAACCAACCAAACACCCCGCAAACAACATTTTCTTGACCTGGAATCTGGCGAGCCAACCAGCCAATGAACCAACCAACCCACGAACCGACCACTCATTCCCACAGGATTTTTCGAGGACGCCCCACACGGCGGGTCCCGGAATGAGTTGTTGCATCTGGAGAATAATGTGTCACCTTGAAACGTTTTCTGTTCCTGCAATCGGCGGGCCATTCAACCAACAAACCCACCAACTAACGAATCCTCCATTTGAAGATTTTACACACGGCGGGTCCCAGAAATCATTTCGGTTGACCCGGAAATGTTGCTTGACCATGACCCTGCATTAACTTGTTGTTTTGACCCTTCTCCCGAGCAGACGAGGAGTAGGGGGAGGGCGATGAAAGGGGCAGATGTTTGTTCCCTACCTAGGCTCTGCCTAGAAGGGTTCTTACCGTGTTGGCTTAAAGGGCCGGGCAGTGTTCCACGCCCCGAGCGGTTCCCCCAGGATCCGCCCCGCGGTTCCCCCAGTGACGTTCCCTAAGCTTAGCGTTGCTTATCTCATCTTAGCTTAGCTTCTTTGATCTTATCTTAGCTTAGCTTACCTCCATATTAGCTTCGCCGAGCTTTAGCATCGCAGAGCACAGCATAACATAGCAGAGCGTAGCACAGCACAGCGCAGCATAGCACAGCATAACATAACTTATCATATCATATCATAACATAGCATAGCATATAATAACATAGCGCAACTTAGCATATCATAGCATAGCATAGCATAACGTAGCATAGCACAGCGCAGCATGCCATATCATAGCTTAGCATGGCACATCATAGCATAGCGCAGCATAGCATAGCATAGCATAGCATAACATAGGATAGCATAGCGCAGCATAGCATTGCATATCATAGCACAGCAACTACTGCTGCTTTCCTAGGGGCTCCAACTCCTAGGTAGGGTCGCGCTGGGGCACATTTTGTTGAGCTCCTCGCTCCGCCCTCCCTCCGCACGCGCGTCCCCGGTGCCCGCGCTCAGCGCGGCGAAGGTCTGGTGAGGAGGAGAATGGGGGAGAAGGAGGAGGAGGAGGAGGAGGAGGAGGAGGAGGAGGAGGAGAGGAGAATGGGGGAGAAGGAGGAGGAGGAGGAGGAGGAGGAGGAGGAGGATGAGGAGGAGGAGGAGGAGGGGACGGAGGAGAGAGGAGGAGGAGGAGGAGGCCGCCCGTCCGCCCGCCGCCACACCCCCGCCCCCGCACCCGCCAGCTTGGCTTCTGGGGGATGCCAGCCCGCCCTCCGCCCGGGCGCTGCTCGACGCTCCCCCTCCTCCTCCCCTCCTCCTCCTCCTCCCTCCTCCTCTTCCTCGTAATCTCCTCCTCCTTCCCTCCCTCCCTCCTCCTCCTCCTCCTCCTCCTCCTCCTCCTCCTTGCTCGACGCTCCCCCTCCCGAGCCGCCGCCCCGGCCATCGCCGCTTGCCCAGTCCCCCCCGAGAGATTTGCCGACCTCGGAAAATGAGGCGAAGCTTCCTCGCGACTCGCGCCCAGCGAAGCTTCCAGCTCCAGGTAAACTGAGAGGGAGCCCCGGGCTCCCGTGGGCCTGCAGCAGGGCTGGTCTCCTCACCGCGTCCCGAGCGGCGCCGGAGCACCGCTTCCCTCGGGTCCTGGAACCACGCAGGGCAGCGACCCTACATAGATCCAGGGGCTCGGGGGCCTCGGGAGGAGGGAGGCAACCAGGAAATGAGGTAGAGGGAAGTAAGGGGTATACCAGACAGCGTATGTGCAGCCAACGCCTATGCACAATAGTGCTCGTGTGCACCACAAATGCTCCAGCAACATCTTCTGAGCACCACAGCGCATGTGTACACCACGGCGACTGTGTACACCACTGGGCCTACGTGAACAGCAACTCCTGTGAACACCACAACGGTTGTGTACACCACCATGCCTGTATATCCTACCCGTACAACTGTATCAGCATCTGTGCGCACCAAAGCGCCTGTGTGCACCAGGATGCCTGTGTACACCAGAACAAACGTGTGGCAGCGAGTGTGTTCACCACAATTCCTGTGTACACCGCAACGCTGGTGTACTCCACCGCTACTGCTGCAGCAAGTGTTCACCACATTGCCTCAATGCCTGTGTACACCAGAATGCCCATGTACCCCACACCGCATGCCCACACACCGCCCATGTGCACCTCTGGAGGCCTTTGAAAGCCTCCGGACGACGTCGGTCGATCGGTGGGTCGGTCGGTGGGTCGGTGGGTCGGTCGGTTGGTCGGTCGTTGGGTCGGTAGGTCCGTCGTCGTCGTCGTCGTCGTCGTCGTCGTCGTCGTCGTCGTGGTCTTCGTCATCGGCCCAAACCGCTCCCAGCACAGACAGTACCGGGCCCCTCGCCCCACCCCCGTGGGCGCAAAACGTGACGTTACAGGGCCCCTTTCCTAAATCAAGGCTGTTAAGTCGGTGGATGGAAGAACTGGCTCCAGAGGCCATGCCGAGGCAACCTTTGAAAACCATGATTGTTGTTTGTGCTTTTGTTCGAGGGCTTGGCTCTGCGTGCTGCACCTGAGCCACGCGCCAGTCTCCGGAAAGCATTGTACAGCATGCCGCTGGAAGCTAATCCAGACGACGATCAAAAGCCCGAAGACCGACAGAGCTACCGCAATACATAAATAGCGAAACAATGAAATGCGCTTCACCCCAATGGCTCAATCACAAAAGAGCCCTGGGCGCGGCCGTAAAAATATTCGCATCTCCTGGAGCATTGCCGTCTTTGGGCAATGAAACTTTCATCTACCAGGGGAAACACAAAAAACGCAAACATAAACTTTTTGAGCTCCGCACGGATTCGCGGACTTCTTGCAGCGGCGCCGCCACGCTGCTGCTCCTGGGCGTGCTGGCGGGCGCGGCACACCTGGCGCTCACGGCCCCAGGGGGGGCAGACGGCAGGGGGCGGCCCGGCCCGGGTCGGGGCTCACGAGACGGGGGTCAGTGCAAACGGGGGTCAGCCAGAGCGCCCGATCTTGCAGGGCCAGGGTCGCAGTGACCGGGGTCTGGGCGCAGGATCCTGCAGGATCTTGCAGGATCTTTCGCATTGACCTGGGCTTGGGTGCAGGATTTTGCAGGATTCTGCAAGGCCTGACTGACCTGGGTTTGGGTTGACCCGGGTCAGAAGATCCCCGACAGGGGGGGGAGACATTTGGGTGCCAGCCTAGGGTCTCATAGGTGGCCCAGCACTGGTTCTGGCCAGAGCTGGGCTCGATAAGGTCCGTTCTCTTTTTCAGCCTCTGGGGGGGCTTTTTTGGAGGCCCTGGGACCGTCAGATGGACTCCAGGACGGGTTGGGGGCTGCTTGTGTCGTCCCCTCCTCGTGACCGGCTTTTCCGGGCTTGGCCGGTGCAGACCCCCCGGTTGCCTCCAAGCAGCATCGACAGGCACCCGCTCTTCTCCGGGAAGCGCACAGCATAGATTCAGGCGCGTGGATTGGCGACCCCCGACCCCCGACGTCATGATTTTTTCATGACGTCGACCCCCAGAGGTCCGGACCCATTCTCCAGGACCGGTTTTTCGTCCTGAGTCGTTTTTTGACAGTCCCGAGGGCCGGTAAGGGCCCCCAGGGTCCAAGAATAGTGAAAAACCTCCCATCGTGATTTTTTCATGACTCGAGGGGGTCTGGGTAGGCGGCCCCATCCAGGCGGCCCATGCCATGCTGGGCCCCAGCACCCGACTCTCCGACGGGGTGCGGGTTTTTTTTGGCCTGTGGCCGGCCTCTGGGGCCCACTAACTATCGGGGCCGGGGACCATACGGAGAAGAACTCCGGGCCGAAAACCGCATCGGAAACTGGGAGGCCGCTAATTGAACAGAGCCTGTTTTTTTTGATTCAGGCAAGTTTACTTGCATGGCGTTCGCCCCCCCCCTCCCCCCCTCGCCCCTCTTCAAGCGAATACTAGCGTGCAAGTGCCTTTCGACTTGCGTGATTTCCGCGACCCCCCCCGGGCTTGCTTCAGGCTCAGCCCCCCCCCCGTCCATGCAAGTAAACTTGCCAGAGTCTAAAAAAAAACAGGCTCTAATTGAACACACACACATCGGCGGATGTCCGGGCGTGATGTATACGCCCTCCTGGCCGAGGCCAACGGCAGGGGGCCCCCAAGGCGGTGTGGTGACCCCTCCGCGTGCACAGTGTTGGGACTCAGGTCGTTCTCCGAGGACGCCTCAGGCGACTGGGGCCTCCGAGATCCCAGAGCCGTGCGGTGACGGACCGCGCGGTGAGGTCTCCTGTTATCTTGAGGCCACCGCGCAGTCCGACACCGCACTGTTTTGGGATCCGATAAATCAGGGGGGCACAAAGGTGGGATTGGGGCAACGAAGGTGGGGTTGGAGGGAAACTCGCTCCAAACGGCCCCTGGGAGAAAGAAACGCGCTACACGGCAGCATCCAGCTGGGCCCGTTCCCCAGCCCCACCTTGGGAAAGCTCTCCCTCTACCCCCGACTAAAGATCGGGGATCTCCTAACCTGGGTCAATCAGACCCGGGTCAGCAGGAAACTAACAAACTGCAATGCAAGAAACAATAACTGCAACGCAGGGCTTCGCAAGCCCGGGTCAGCCAGTATGCGCGGCCGCCTCGCGGCAACGAGCGGCTCGCTAACCCGGGTCAGCCAATGGGGGTCTTCGCAGGATCCTGCAGGATCTGGTGCCTTGGCTGACCCCCGTTTGCATTGGCCCCCGTCTCTTACGCTCCGACAAAAGGAAGACGAGCGCGTTTAACTACTCGCAAAGTAACTACTCGCAAATAGCCTGGATCCCCCGCAGAGGATATACGATAAATTACATCAAAGCGGACATGTGTTTTTCGGACGTTTGCGAGTAGGCACTTTGCGAGTAGTGGAACGCGCGCGGTGAAACAGGGTCGGTGCACCATCCTGGGGCCAGGATGGCCCGGGCCGAACTCAGTGGTGTACGGATGCCTTCTGCGCGGCTTCCTCGACGAGGCCCATCAGCTCCGCTTGCCGGGCGTCTGCCATTGGTCTGCGCAGGGGGGGGCCTCGGCGTGCGCCTGGGTCCCGAAGCTGAGGGGCAGATGGGTAGTTCTAGGCCTCCCAGATTCGGGCCGGACGAAAGGGAGGGATTGGGAAATGGGGGGTACGACATCTGCTGCATGCAGCTTTTTTCGGCCCCACCGAAGGGCCCATTCCTCGATACATGGCCGCCTCCAGCGCCGGGAGGCGCCGGGAAAATCAGCTACGTGAGCTGATTCTCCCCCCCCCCCCTTTGCTATCCCCCCCTTTCGCCCGGCCCGACAGATGGAGTCGGAGTAGATGGGGTCGGAGTATTGCGCCGCGTTGCCGGTGCATCGGCGATGCGACTCGATGTTGGAGCCCGATGCTCTCCACGCCGACGGCGCTGGTGCATCGTTGGCGTCGCCGATGGGTCGCCGATGCATCGGCGAAACGGCGCGATCCTCAGACCCCATCTACTCAGACCTCATCGGGGAGGCCTCTTCAATAATTCAGCCAGACGCAGAATTGAACCAGTCGGCTGCGGGATGACTTCCGATGGTGTCGGGATGGGCCCCTGGGAGAAACTTGACCGGGCAAAAACTGGGAACGCTGATCTGTCACCTTGGTTCGCGAAGCACAGTCTGGACAGCACCGTCACAGACGGCAAAGAAAGTAAGCGCGGCAGAACTGCGCAGCAATCCATTGTGTGTGTGCTGTGCTGTGCGGGTGTGCATGATCGTGGTTTCCCTGCTGCGCTAAGCTTTGACACGCACTTCTCTCGTCTTGTTTCGAGATGGGCACTTGACTCGGTTCCCGTCGAACTCCACGCCCACACGGTCTGGAGAAAGACCGCGCTCATATTCACACGTGCGTGGTGTATGTGTATGTGTATGTGTATTGTGTGTAGGAGTATGAACAAACTAGAACCACGCGCACGCTACGTGCGCGCTCATATTCTAGCAGAGTGCGCAGTCGTTGTCAATAGACCTTGCGCCAATCCCCGAACCCCAAGATATCCAGGGAGAGGCTCCCCAGGCGGCTCTCGGGCCGCTGGGGCGGGTCCCCCGGGGAGCCCGCCGCCCTCATGGCGACCAGCGGCAGCTGGGATAAGGCCATCGACCCCGTACCCCGATCTTATATATAAGTACATGTGTATAGAGTTATATGTATTCTTATACATATGTACGTATGTATAAAAGTGCATCTATATGTATATATATACGTGTATATATATGTATATATACGTATATATAGAGAGATGCGCATGTGTGTGGTGTGTGTATTCCCCAGATCGTGCTTGCGTAACAGGGCGATTATACGTGTTTTGAACAATTAGCAGAAGACTCAACGTCGTCGCCGGGCACTGGCCCGCTGCGGGAAGAACAGCCAGGCTTGGAGCGGCGCACCTGGCCGCGTTACCACCCTGCTGTCCTGGCTGACGTGCCCACTGGCAAGGTTCGACGCGCTTCTGTGCTGAGCGTGCACCGGCGCCGCCTGCCCGCCTTGCGCGGCAGCGGATGTCTGGCTGCACTTCTCCCGTGTTCTTCCCGGCCCTCTCCTCTGCGACGAATCGTCGAACGTGCCCGCCTCGACTCCCTCTTCCTGCATGGGGCCGAGCCGTCACATAGCGGTGCCCAGATGCGCTCACTGGCTGGATGGCGCACCAGCTCCTCCGAGAGCTGTGCCCCAGAGCCCCTCTGACAGCTGTGTGGCTTTGGGCGCCGCCCTGGGCGCAGCTGCCCCCCCTGCTGGAGCACCGCTGCCTGCTGCGCCTGCTCGAGCCACGGAAAGGAAAGCTGCGTCCGAGACGCCCTGGTGGTCGAAGCCCACTCCGTGTGCCGAGGTCACCCATCTTCGCGCGACGTGTCCGCCATGCGCGACGCGAGGTCATCTTCGTGTTCTCGCGAGACCGTCCTGGCGAATGGCGCTTCTCAAACCCAAGCCGCCATGCGCGAAGCGGGATTATGTTCGCGCCACGGGGGGTGACCTGGGAGCTCCGCGTCTGGGACCTCCTGGCGGTCGAAGCGCATTTCGCTTTTGAGTTTGTTCACCTTGCCTGACGCTGCTGTCAGGTGCTTGAGTCCCCCTCCCCCTCCGCCTCCTCCTCCTCCTCCTCCTCCTCCTTCTCCTCCTCCCCCTCCTCCATTCGACGGCCAGGCAACTTCTCTAGTCGTACTCATGATGCTTGGCCTCGTCGAGCCCTTCTGCGCGCCTGGCGACCTCTTTCTCTAGGTAGGCCCGACGTCGTGCCCGAGCTCACCATCGGCGCCTGCAAGGTAAGAACATCTAGCGTCTAGCATCTAGCACCAGGTCGGGAAAGTCCCGTACAGGCGGATTTTGGGCGAAAGATTAAGAAATACTCAAGCATGCTCCACAATAGTCAACAACTATATGAACAAATCGTCCCCAGACTACTTTGTATAACTATTTTCGAACATCCCTCCTGTGGAAGGACGTGCCCGACTGAAATCTAGCATCTGGTTGGTCTCCTTGAGATGACGCCACAGGCGGCTCCTGGCAGCCTGCGTGGGCGGACGCCTCCTCGGGCGTGACTGCCCGGATCTCTCCGAGAACGGACGCCGTGACGCCTCCCTTCTAGTTGACACTGGCCACTGCGGTCGGGGGCGGCCAAGAAGGAAGCGTCAAAGCCGGGGATGGACAGCACCCCCTTTAGTGAAACGTGGTTTAGTGAAAACGACCTCGGGCCCAATCCTGGCGGGCGCAAGCCTGGAAAATGACGGCCGCGGCGGCCTCTCGAGAACCGAAAACGGACAATTCACTAATCGACGTGGCAGGGTGGGGGTTCTGTCCACCCCCGACAGAGGGGGGGGCGCAAGTCATGGCCGGCGGCACGTGCGCGGCCCAGGGGGGGGGGGGCAGAGACGCATTGCAATAACCTCATGCCCGTGAGAATAAACACTAGGGGATAATAAAGTTCGGGGTTCAGGGAGAGATAATAAAAGTAGCCCAGCAGACCTCAGCATAGTCTCGAGGTAAGAGATGATCAAGAGGAGACCAAGCCGAGCACGTTTTGAGACATCCTTGGCGTTTAGTTTTCATAGAAATATCCTCAACAATGGCTTATCTCGCTGGAGACATCCTCGACAAATCCCTTGTTTCGCTTGAGACATCCTCGGAATAGCTCATCCGCCTCGGCGTCCCTAGATAATCAACGGCGGCAATAATAAAGTTCAGGCGGGCGGAGGAATGGAGGAAGCTATATATAAGAAAGAAAAATAAAAAGAATAAATAATAAAATAACAGAAATGATAGGAGGAGGAGAAGGACGAAGAGAAGAAAAAATCTCGAGTTTCAAATCTATTAGATTTTATTTACAAGCGCTTTATGAAAATTGTTTTTTTGTAAGTGCTCGTGTAGGGTAGCTCATGTGCCTCAATTTCCATGGATAATCAACCCCAGAGATAAAAAAGTTCAGGCGAGCGTGGGGACAGAGAGAAATATAAAAGAAGAAGAATACAGTAGAAGAATAATAAGAAAGAAGAAGAAGAGGATAATAAGAAGAGGACGAAGAAAGGAACAATCCAAAGTTCCAAATCTATCAATTTTAATTTACAAACGCTTTATGAAAATTGATGTTTTAAGTGCTCGTGTAGGGTAGCTCATGTGCTTCATTTTCCATGGATAATCAACCCCAGGGATAAAAAAGTTCAGGCGAGCGTGAGGACAGATAGAAATATAAAAGAAGAAGACGAAAGTAGAATAATAATAAGAAGATAATAAGAAGAGAAGAAGAAGAGAAGAAGAACGGAAAAATGGAAAGTTCGCTTGACACATTCTCAAAAGTGTGATCGCTTCGCTTGATGTTGCTATATCAACATCGCTTGATGTTGCTATCTCAACATAGCGTTTCGAGGTGATAATGAAGTTCGGCCTCAGCGCTCGCCGCCCAATTTGAATTTTGTATAGGGCGACGATAATCAACTCTAAACACTGAAGGGGGGGGGGTCCCTTTATTATCATCGGCATGCGGTTAAGAAGAGGCGCCACGAAATCTGGGGAAATACCATGGCCCACGCCATGATATGCACCCCCCCTAGTCATCACCCCCCTCTTTGCCGCCCCCATTGTGGCACTGCGGTCCCCTAGAGCGCTCTCCTCGCAAATCCGAGCGCTGCCGCTTCGGCTTGCTCTGGTCCTGGTCCTTCCAATGCTCGCTGTGCAACCTGAACTTGTTGCACGTCCGAGGCTGCTCTGAGCCCTGCGTGGCCGGCAGGGGCAGCCCCTCATGAAGAGCGGTACTGCCTCAGCAGCTCCTCTGTACGAGCAAGGCGCAGCCGGTGCCACACCGCCGCCCAATCCTACCTGGCCCGGCGGTGCCACGCAAGCCTGGCGACGGCGCCGCGCCAGGCTGTGTGAGAGCCCCTCCCCAAACGCCGCGGCCAGCTTGATCGCCAGGCTGGCATGCTGACGTCAACAACTGGGCCCTGGCCGTCAGCAGACACTTGTCTGGATGGTGCTCGGGCCGCAATACTTGAGACAACATGGCTACGACTTGGAAGCGGCCGGGGGGGGTCTGCGCCGGATGAGCCCAGAGAAAGCCTGTGACGAGGGCGGGGGCTCGGGCAATTCGGCTCAACACCTGTCCCTGGTCCCCTCCCGGGACCCCCAGGCTCGAATCTGACCAGCTTTTCGAGCCACGTCCAGCCGTGGCAACGAGGGGGGCACCTTCCTCCCCCCTTCGCCACCTCGGCTCCCCAGCCAGCTCCAACTGCCACCCCCTCGCTTGCCATCGCTCGGACGCCCGTCCCCAGTGCACTGTTTGGTTCCGTGTGTGTGTTTTTCTTTTTTGCCCGATGATCCGGGATGCTCCTCGATGGCCCTCGCCGAGAAAAAATGCACACGTCCGAACCCCAGACCCCCGACGTCAGGATTTTTTCACTACGTCGACCCCCAGAGGTCCCGACCCTTTCCCCAGGACCGGTTTTTCATCCCGAATCGTTTTCTGACGCTCCCGAGGCCCGGTGAGGGCCCCCAGAGGCCGAGAATTAGGAAAAACACCTCCCGTCATGATTGTTTCATTGCTCGAGGGGGTCTGGGACGATGCCAGTTGGTGGTCCCCAAACGTGGTGGCGAGAACACCCGGTGGTGAAATTTTGGCGATTTGGGTAATGTTTCTCGAGCGCTGGCTGGCCCAGGAAACGCAAAACTTCGTGGCGACCGCGTGTCCCCAAACCCGGTGGTGACCCAGAATTATTTTTTGGGGGAATCGGGGTCACCACCAAGTGTCTCACCACCACGTTTGGAGACCACCAAGCCAAGTTCTTCGCTGCCCCCTCCCCGGAGGCCGCCCCGCAGGCCGGATCCCCGACCCCGCGGCCGGCCAGGTCCTTCGGGGTCAGCAGCCCCACGCCGCCGGGCCCCGGCCTCTGGCCCGCGCGCGCCCCCTCGGAGCGGCGCCTTTTGATGCCCCGGGCTGCGGCCCTCTCCCGCCGCGCTCGCAACGCCGGCGGAGGTTTGACAGAAGGAGGCCCCTCGATAGGGAGCCTGTTTTTTTGGATTCAGGCAAGTTTACTTGCATGGCGTTCGCTCCCCCCCCCCTCGCCCCTCTTCAAGCGAATACTAGCGTGCAATGCCTTTCGACTTGCGTGATTTCCGCGCCCCCCCCCCCGGGCTTGCTTCAGGCGCAGCACCCCCCCCCGTCCACATGCAAGTAAACTTGCCAGAGTGTAAAAAAACAGGCTCTAGGGAACCCAGGGTCTCGCGACCGATGGCGGCCAAACGTCGGCCACCCACCTCGTCCTGAGACCAAAAAAAAAACGCCAGGAAAACGTGCCACACGAAGCTGGGAAGCGCACGGCGTGAAGGGTGAAGCAACCCCCGCTTCCTCGCCCCCTTCTCCAGGAAAGCGTGGAGAGGTCAGCCCCGAATCCCGTCCGCACGCCGCGCCAGGGTCTGGGCCCCAGGAAACCGATCCTCATCCGACTCATCCGATGCTGCCGCCGCATCGGCGGCGCGCCGACAGGGGGGGGGTGTCGAGAGAGGGGGCGGGGCCTGCTCGGGAGGCGAAACGGCGGGGCTGCGGAGGAGCCGTGGGCAGTTTCTCCGAGGCCAATTAGATGAACATAAAATGGAATACCAGTTCGGGAAATGTGCACAGCACTAAATGCTGAGCTCAGGCACAAATTACTGGACTCGAGCTGAGGCCTCCTTGATACATATTCTCTCCACGAAAGCAGCCAACCGCAGCTCATATGGAGGGGCGGGCCCTGATGCCCAGGGAAAACTCACCACCGTAGAGTCAGGAACCGCAAGACTAAGATGACGGGGTCCTTCCGACGGCCTGCCTCTTAGGGACCAACCGAGCAAGGGGAACAGTTCTGCCAAGGAGCCACAAGCATTTCCTCTTCGGGGATTTACCCGGGAAGAAACGGTGGATAATCTCCTGACCTTTCTTGGTGGGGCGCATGCAGGGGCCAGCCAAGTTTAAAGCGCGGCCCTGGCCCCCCCCCCCCCCCCCCCCCACACACACTTCAAACAAACATAGGTCTGCTTCTCAGGGACCGCACGCGCAACGTCAACCGAGGCAGGATTGCGAGCAAGTCCAGCCGCGACGACGAGGTGCCCCTGAGGGTCCTTGAGCAGCTTGCCTGTGAGGGGTGGCGCTATCAAGCTGAGAACGCAAATTACCACCGAAGGATAAGCATCTGGTGCAATGCCACCCTGCAGGCCCATCGATCCACGAATGCCACTCCGTCCTGAGCCTGGCGGCGCCGCGCCTCGGGGCACGGGGAGGGCGGGGCCACCTGAAGTCAGTCTTATACAGCGGCAGCACAGCAGCGGCTATCTAGACAATGATATTCGCCCTTTTCATGGGCAAGGTTGACTGAAGGCAAAAACGCAGGGTCAGCACCTTCGTGCTGCATCAAAGCCTCCTTTGCATGATGGTCCACAACCGAATCCACAACAGCAAACTCTCTTTCACCCGACGGTGAAGCATATCTGACTTAGTGGGTCCTGTGGGCTTTCGCATGCCTAACCTCCCGAAGCCATTCCGCGCCTTCGAGGCTCTGCGCAAAAAGACGAATTCCTGCATGATTGGGCGAGGCTGCCAACTGCTGACTGACACTGCGCTGCATGATTTTGCTTGCTGCCATGCAGTCAGCCCCAAGCACCGACGGGGTCCGTTTGCCATCTGGCCGCGAAGAGCAATTGCCACATGCTCAGACATCGCGGGGGTCTGAGGAAAAGTGCAATGGACGACGCCACGCATCGCATACGCAGGCCCTGGCGCACCACCGCTGTCGAGCAGCGCGCCCATGGCCAAGGCCGCCCTCTGAAGTGGGCGGATCGGAGGCCTGGAACAGGAGCCGTCATATGCCATTCGGAGCACCTGATCACTGGAAGGATTCGCAGTGACTTCTGGCCGCATGTCTAATGGGTTGCCCAAAACATCAAACAGCTCAACCACCGACGACGCACTTGGCTTGGGCAACTCTCTATCAGGGCAAACAAAGATCCCACGCGTGAAACTCTCTAGGCCAGGATCTTCAAGCGCCGCCTGGACATGCTCAGGCGTGGCACCCGATTCCCTTCCTGCTATCTGGACATCTCTGCGTGTGCATGTGTGCAGCCTGTGGTGGAATGTGTCGACCTGCCCGCGCTCGCACAAACCGTCCGTCGCGCAACCCGAACGACGACCTCGATCATTGGCCCACACTCCATTGCACCCATCGCATTTCACTAAAAACTTGGCGTGTCTACCTAATCGCTTGGCTCTTGGCCCCAACCGATCCCGCGCGAGATTCAAGGTGGCCATGAGCCCAGGGGGTAGCCTAACTTCGCCGCGGACGCCATCTCACGCTGGCGCTGGATACTGACATCAATCATGTCAGCCAGCAGAGATGGGGGAGCCTGATCTACCATCGCGGTTGAAACCGCTGTGAACGTTCCATTCAACGGGCCTAACACTTCCCAGCCAGCCCGCTGGAGCACCAGTGCCGCTCTACGAATCGGGTCGCGAGAGGAGCTCCAAGGGCTGCCCTGCAGAGGCTGGGCCGAGTCCCAGAGCCTAAGAAGCTCAACCTTACTGACTGGTGCACTCTCGGGCTGGGTTGAGGCCATCCAAAAGATTCTACGCCAGTGGATAGCAGGGGCAATCGCCAGCCGAGAACTCTTGCCCCCGAGAAGAACGAGTTTAGCTGTCAGAGAGACACCACCATGGCATGGGGCGTCCGAGCTGTAAATGATTCGCCGGTGGGAGACCCACTCGGCCTGGCCCAGGCCTAGGGCCCCAGCGCCGAAACTGATCGCAGGAGCAACCCCAGCGCGGCACATCCTGGAAAAGGAGGGTTCTTTACCGTTTCCGATGAAACTTGGCGTTGCGGATTCTCATCTTCATTCCTATGAAACGCCTGGCCTGTTTCACTCTGGCTCTTACATTACTGCGCCTGGCCCCGGCCGCCTCGCCGACGCCGAGGTAGGAGACGCCGTTCTTCAGGACCGAGTGCGGCCATCCTAGCATGTCGAGCGCAGCAGTGTAGACTTCCTTGGATGACGCCAGCAGGCCAGTCCTTTCAAAATTTAGCACTGCTGACAACTTCTCGGAAGTACGTTGGAATTCTGCCATCGAACTGACTACAACCTTGGTCGTCATCTCCACATCCTTCGAAACAGCAGTCATCGTAATATCGTCGATATAGCTGGGGATATCAACCGCTGGGCATCTTGATATGTACTCGTCGAACTCACCGCTTGCATGAACCTCGATGGCAAAATCGTCTAGACATCCCCAGCGGGTGGCCCGCAGACTGCGAACAGGGGCAGGGTGGAGTGATGCTTGCCCGATCTGATGACGCGTGGCGCTCGCCAAGTGTCGAAGACTAATTTGTGCCAACGCCCTGGCAATCCAACCGTGCTAAACTTCACTCTTAACGTATCCAGTGGAATGGAGTCATAATATGTTGCTCAATCGATAGCCCACATGAGACAGTGTCGCTGCCGCGCTCGATCGCATTCAGCACGAGCAGCTTGAAGCCGAGCACAGTCAAGGGCAGAGCGACCTTCCGCCTCTCCCCAGCATCTTCTCGAAAGCTGCTGACTGATACCGGGCGCCGTCCATCGGCGGGCTCTCTGCCATATGCGATACATACCAGCACAGAGAATGATGAGTCTGCTTCCACCTGACGTTGCCTAATATCGGCATCTGAATCCAGCGCAAGGGAAGTTGTCAAATTGCCCCCGAACGCCGCCATATGAGACTGAGCACCTCCCACCCTTCATCGTCCAGCATCAGCGCATGCCTCGGGTGGAAGTGGTCGAAACTGGCCAACGTGCCCGCAGAGAACGCCTTGGCAACCGTTCTGATCACGTCAGGCTCGTGGACAGGGCGCGCGGTGCGATCTGGCACCCGTGCGCATGGTGCTTCACTGTTTGCCATTCAGAGCTCCTCGTACATGTCAACTTCCTTTTCGACTATGGCAATGGGGCGCCCAGAAACAACAGGCCCTTGGCACAGGGCTGGCTTTGGACTTGTCTTGACCTCGGTGAGCCGGCGCAGCGCGCGAGCTCCTCGAGATGCGGACTCAGCGCGCCAAGCACTCCATCTCTGAGTAGACTCCTTGTTCATGCCAAGAACTGCGTCCTCAACGTCATCCTTGATCTCGTCGAGGAAACGACTGATAGCCTCCGTGCCCATGGGGGTTGCACTGACGAGATCACGCGCCTGCTTGACTGTGCAATCTAGCCTCCCGCGCAGACCCTGACCGCGATGCTGAATCGTTGGGAAACTGTCGATATCCAACGTAATGGCATCAATGTTGCTCGATCCTTGAAGAAGCTGCAAGGTAGCTGTGAGACTGTTGCTTAACCGCTGCCAGCCCTCGGCGATCAGCTTGGCAGACGTCTCATCGTCGAGGGCATATGCGGCGTCCACGCATCTCGGACACAAATTTCGCCCAAAGACTCCTGCTTCCTTCAACCCGGTACCTGTGCTGGCGGCTACCTGCTTTGCCGCTGCGACTGCAAACCATGCCCGCGCCCGTGAGAGAAAATGCCAGACTGCATTTGCCGAGGTTGCTTCGCCCGTGGCCATCGACAGACATGCTTCGGCCAGAACTCGATGCTAACTCCAATCCGCAGGAGGCGCAGTTGGACCGAACGCAGGTGCAGAAGGTTGTGTAGGCAAAACAATGTAAACGCAGTACCTGATGCTGAAACCATTGTCCACCACCTTCGCTGTCGCGGGCCTGCGTCGCCGCTTGGCCCAACGCATATCCGCTGCCACTCCTCTGAAACCACGCAACGCTACATCGTTCACGGCAGAGCAATCGATAGTTGTGGCACCAGCGCCTCCTCCACAAGTGACCCGGGGAGGCACTGCCGTTGCAACTCTTGCTGTGAATGGGGGACCGCGCTGCCCCAGCTCAATCACATGCGTATTCCAGTCAGCACTTGCTATGCATGGACCACGACAATATGTGAGACACTGTCCCATTGACGCAAGCATAATAGACCAGTTGGTCCAATCGTATCCTTCAGGCAGCCATTGCGAACGTGGAACGGCCGCCGCCCAGGCAAATCGACCAGGAAATGATGGAGCCTGTGTGGGTACCGAATATGTTGACCATGCTCAGGTTTGCGGAGCCCGATATCAGCTTCGCGCGAGTACTGCCACACCTGCTGAAGGGGTGACATTTCGCATTCGCACTGCCTGGACTTGCAACCAGCTTCCATCCAGGATTGCGTGCCCACGTGTAGAAATACCCCACGCTGCTGGTCTCGTATCCAACCTCCTGCGCTAAGGCAACGTGAGAACTGGAATGGCGGACACGGTCCTTGAGTGTCTCGCGGCCACCATTCGCGTTGCACGTCTCAAATGCATACAAACTCTGTGACGGCGGCGTCTGCACTGGCTTGAACTGTCCAGCCATTGAAACTTGGATCCCTGAGACACGCACAGGGACAAAACTTTCTGATCTCAACGCCGGCGACGATGCCCCAAAAACGATACCCCAAGCGTGGCTTCATCACGAGCCCGCGGAGACGGGTGTTGAAGGATTCGTAGTCACCAGCCTCGAACAACGTTCGCCTCGCCTCGTCGGACAGGCCCTCGAAAGAACGCTTCTGCCCATCACTTGCAGAAGGAGGGGGACCATCACCATCAGGATGAGTATCGCCAAGATCGGGCGGCGTGGCTGCCCCTCCTTCGAACTTTGCCATGAGGTGATCCTGAAGTTTGGTCCACAACTCGGGCGATAGGGAGCTTTGCAACTCTGCGTCGCTGACATCCTCCACCTTGACATCAGAGCTGAAGGTCGGGGGCACATTGGGAGGCTCGGACTCTGCGGGGCCGACGAATTTGGCCGTGCGCTGGAACTCCTCCTCCAAGGTAGTAATCTCTCTCAGCTTCGCAACCAACTGTGCCCTCCGAGACTCCAGCGCTTCCTGGAATTTCTCAAAATGCTGCTCCTCCTGGCGGATCTCATGCTCGAGCTTGGTGCGATGCAACTTCGCTAGGTCAAAGTCCTGCTGCGCACGTCGGTGAGATTGCGCAGGGGTCCGAAGCGCCCTGTTCTGTGCCCGCAAGGCCTCGAGCTTGTCTTTAGTCCCAACTTTGAGCGGATCACTGTCATCCCCAGGTAGTGCTTTGAGAAACGACTCATGTTGCGCAATCTGGCTTGACAACTTGGACCGCTTGGTGGCACCATCATCTTCGACTTGCATCCCGTGCCATCTTGGTCTTCCTGCTTCCACGGCGGAATACCTTCACCCGGCGCAGGCAAGGTCTTGGAGCACGTCGTGGTCGTCGATGCAAGACCGCCCCCGCCACGGAGCAGCTTCTCGATGGCTTCCAGACGCTTGCTTGTATCATCCTTCTCTGTGTTCTTCTGCATGCTGTACTTGGCTTGCCCGCCCAAGGAACCTTCTTTCGCCGGGATCTCCTTGTGGTCGGCCCAAACACCACGTTTGATACGAAGAGGCGCTTCATTCCCGCACTGACAGCGGACTCTCGATGCCCAGTTCGCCGAGGCCGAGCACCGTCCACATGCCCGTGTGGGCCGCCGCGGCCCGCGAAACACCGCTGGGTGCGGTGGCGGCGGCGGCCCTGGCACCATGCTGGTGCCCTCGTCGTGAAAATAGTGCCCCGACAGGAGCTCACTGGAGGAAGCGTGTGGGCGAGGCCATGGCGCCTGCCTGCCCACTGCTCCGAACTGCTGACCTGGCCAACTGCCTTGGTAGATGGCAACTTGAGCCCAAATGGCTTGAGCCAAAATGGCTACGGAGTCCTCCGGAGGCGGAGGAGGAGGAGGAGGCGGATGTCCAGCGTGGCGAAGGAACATCTCGCAAGCAAAAAGCCACCGTGCCCCCTGGCGCCAAAATGGCCAGCCACAGGACGCTCCCGCTTCCCATGCAGATCTCACGATGCAGACCCTGCGCCCAGCAACAATCCCAAAGATTTGTTTGAGGCGTCTTTTGCGGCACGCTTGGCTTCGATGACGGCATCGTGGGAAAATTTGTGGTTCTTCGACGATGCCAAATGTTATCACGAAGCACTTGCACTGGGGGGGCGTACCCGACACACTCAAGACGCTTGGCAATACCCAGGGTGACCTGACCTGGTTTGGGACGCGTGTACCTCTGCTCCGCTGACCCCCAGGGGTGCAGGACAGTGGCGGCAGGTGCACCCATGGCAACGACCAAGAGGAGGTCTCGCTAGGGTCTATGTGGGCAACCACTCAGCTGGACCCCAAGGGGCGCAAAAAAGTCTTGCAATATGCAGGGGGAGCGAGGTCTCGCTTGGGCCTGCGCGGGTCATCACCACCCCGCTGGGCTCCCCAAGTGGCGGCAGCACCCAGGGCGAGCGGTGTGCGGTGTCTGGGATGGGGGAACAGGTCAAGGCTGGGTTGGGGGCAAGAAGGTTGCTGCCCGCGGGATCCCGTCGCACGCCCTCCCCCGCCCCTTCCCCCCGAATCCCCGTCCTCTTCTACACTGTTGCTTGCCATCCTTTCGCCCTCTTACAGTGGAGGCCCGACCACAAGAAATCTTCCACAAGAAACCCAACCCTGAGACCCCAGGATGTACATCGATCTTTGGTGCGGGAACGTCACGCCCTCCGTGGCAAAACCATCGAAACCCAAGAAACCCAGGGCACCCTGGAGGCGAGTCGGGTATTTTCTTGGCATGGGCCTCCACTGTACCTTGGCCGCCATCTGGCTCCCCGGATCCCTGTCCCCATCCCCCCCCCGAATCCCCGTGCTGCTTGCCGTCCTTCCGCCCTCCTCTCCCGGGCCGCCCTCCCGCTCCTTCGGCCGCCCGCCCGCCCCCGACCCCTCCCAGTCCATCCTTCGCCCACCTCCCAGCGGTGCGCCAGGGGAGGGATGCCAGGAGGCAACTCCTGGGAGGCCTTCGTCGGAAAGATCAAGACGAGAGTTGAACCTCCTTGGGGGCTACTGCGCCGGAGGAGGCCGCGGATTAAGCGGGGTTCAGCCGGATTAAACAGGATCAAGCCGGATTAAGCGGAATTGCAACCGGGGCGTGGCCGCAAGAACCCCCCACAAAAACCCAATCTTGAGAACCCGCGCGCGAAGGGGAAACCCGGAGCACCCTGGACGCAGCCGCTCCTTCCCTGGCTGCGGGAAGCCACCGCGCGGCGCGCGGAGCGAAGAAGCCCAGGATACCCCGACGAAAAGCATATGGTTTCCTGATGCGCGCCCCCACTGCAAGCCGGAGTAAGCCAAATCTCGGACCAGGGGAAATTCAGAACTTCACCTCCCGGGAATTGCACCCGAAGGAGTACAGAGGGCCAAGCATTCCCCAGAATCGGGGATCTTCTGACCCGGGTCAATCCAAACCCGGGCCAGCAGGAAACCAAAAAACTGCAATGCAGGAGCAAAAAAACTGCAACGCAGGGCTTCGCAAACCTGGGTCAGCCAAGCGGCCGCCTCGCGGCCACGAGCGGCTCGCTCACCCGGGTCAGCCAGAAGGGGTCTTCGCAGGATCCTGCAGCATCCGGCTCCCCGGCTGACCCCCGTTTGCATTGACCCCCGTCTCTTAAGCTCCGAAAGAAGGGTCTGTGCACCATCCCGGGGCCATGATGGCCCTGGCCGAAAGCAGCGGTGTACGGAGGCCTTCTGCGCGGCTTCCTCGACGAGACCCGTCAGCTCTCAGGCCCCGACCCGAAGGCTTGAAGAGGGCCTCTGGCCTTCCAGTCCACTAGTCCAGCGGCCTCGCGAGCGATACCAGGGGGAGCTTCTTGCCAGCCTCCCCCGAGAAGCGGCACGGAGGGCCTGTCCAAAAAAGGCCGGGGGGCTCGCGAGAAGCCCCGCCGCCTTCTCACGAGGCCTGCCCCATCGCACCCCCCCCCACGGCGTGCCGCTCTTCCCTCCCTCCCTCCCTCCCTCCCTCCCTCCCTCCTCCCTCCCTCCCTCCCCCCTCCCTCCCTCCTCCCTCCCCCCCCTCCCCTCCCTCCTCCTCCTCCCTCCTCCCTCCTCCTCCTCCTCCTCCTCCTCCTCCTCCTCCTCCTCCTCCTCCTCCGATCGTCCCCCTCCTCCTCCTCCTCCTCCTCCTCCTCCTCCTCCTCCGATCCTCCCCTGGGCCCACGTCGCGGCCACTCCCCGAGAGCGGTGCGGAAAGGGCCGCCTGCTGCTCCCTCTTGGCGATGAGCTCCGCGGACATCATCTGGAAGGCGCCCTCCACGTTGGTCGCGTCCTTGGCGGACGTCTCGATGAATGCGATGCCCAGGTCCTCGGAGTCGTCGTCGTCGTCGTGGTCGTTGTCGTCGTCGCTCTCGTCGTCGTCGCCGTCGTCGTCGACGTATTCGTTTTCGTCGTCGTTTTCGTCTTCCTCGTCGTCGTTCATTTCCACAGGCACCCGGAGCGCCCCGGATCGGCGGCACTGGCCGGAGGCCACTACAATCTCGATGAATGCGATGCCCAGGTCCTCGGATTCCCCTCTGTGCGTGCACTCGAACAGGTGGGCGCACATCGAACGTCCAAGGGCACCTACATCCGCCACGCATCGGCGAGAGCGAGGGCGTGCCTGGGCAGCCTTGCTGCAGGCGGACGGAGCGACGAGCCTGGCAGAACGGGACAGTGAACGCTTCTCGACCTACAGCAAACGATATACCCACGAACTGAGAACACTTCGTCGTGCGTCCGCATGCGGCGTGGGAGCATTCGAAATGTCCACTACTCCCAAAACATGTGGGTCGGTTCGCAGGACAAGAAGACGTGGACGTGCAGTGAATACTCTAAACATAGGGAAACCAGGGTGCCCGTTGCAGGCGCCGAACTATCTCTGAACAGACATGTGGGACGGTCGTGGGAGGGTCGCGGGAAGGTCGTGGGCGGGTCAAGGACGCGGGTCCGGAACGCGGGCTGGGGTGGGGCAGGCGAGGGTGGAGGGCGCCGTAGGGGATATGCAATTATTGTGAAGGGTTTCAACTTTTGCGGTCCACGCGCCGCTCGGATACTTTGGAAAAGCTGAGGGGGTCAAGAGGGACTGCGCCAAATGTCAGAGGAAGTGCGTTCCAAGGCGCTAAAGCCGTTCTACTGCAATCCTGCGCCCACTCTCTACAAGACAGTCCGTCCACCCTGTAAATGTACATCCTGAATTTTGTTACCAAGAATCTCACTGGATGGACCGTCAGTTTGGGACTCCGAGCCCCGCCGATGCCCCCGCTACGACAAGGGACCCTGGGATCTGGTGCGAAGATCGCAGGGGCGAAATCGGAGCAGACTCGGGGCTCCAACCAGGCTCGGCTGGGGAGTTTTGTCCTCGAGGCACATGCGGTTACAAGCCCGCGGACAAAGTCAACGTCTCGACTCTGAACGTAATGCTAGGCTCTTTCTAAAGTACCTCCTCACCAAAGTTCGACGGTGACAGGTGTGCCAAGCAGAAGCGGTGTCCTCGGCCTTCTTCTTGGCCTCATCGGTAGTGACCTGGCGGTCATCAGTCATATCGCACTTGTTGCCAATGAGGATCTTGCACGTGCTCTCGTTTACGTACCTTCCACGATGATCGAGTACGAGCTGCTAAAAGAGAGAGGAACAGAGAGAGAGAGAGAGACAACAAACAATACGACGGGAGCCGAGCTGCCCGATCGGGCAATATACGCTTTCTTGGCGATCGGCCCTAAAATGGGCCACGAGTGGGCGAAACTTGCACGCAGGTGTGGGTCACCTTTGGAAGAGGGAGCAAAAGGAAAACATGACAAGGAGGGGCCTGGGGACGCGAAGGAGAGGGAACATTAAACAACGACGAGGAGAGCAAGGGAACTGCAAGGGCGGGGAATAGGGACGAAAGAATGCACTTGTGGATCTCTTCTGCCCAAGGCTTCCGTTTCCCCAGTAAGGTCCCAGAGGGCACAGAAGAGGACGGACGAGGAGGACGGATAAGGCATCGATGTGGTTACTCCTCCTCTTTTTCTGAGGCAAGCTGTGGGGTGCACTCCACCCGCAACGTCGGACCACCTCCTCCCCCCTCGTCCCACCGCCTCCCGCCTGAGCGAGTCGGGTGAACGAAGAACGAGCGAGCATTCTCAACTTCGAAGGGCTGTCCTGGGCAACGGTTTCGTCTTGAGAGGTCGAGTATACCTTCGATACTATCGCGCCAGTGTCGCTCATCTTGCCCCTCCTCCCCTTCCGCTGGTTCTCCTGCTCCTTGCCTTCTCTGAAGCGTCCCAGGGCATCTTCATGAATCCAAGCACTCAGGGGCCGGTGGAATGGCGCAAGCGCCCAAAGCATCTTGAATATCTGTGGAGTTCCCTTGGTATTTGCTTCGTTGTAGGGGTGACAACCTTGGATGAGCAACCAACTCTCTAGGGTGCGCTGCAGACGCCAACACCTGGAACCTAACATACATGTTCACACATGGTCGCCTTCCGAAGATGACCCAGCACGCAATGTAAGCCTGCATCGGGGAACTCTGTACCGACTTCGAGGGCTCGGCCGAACTTCAACAATCCATGCCGTCCTGTCTCAACAGGTGCCTGCTATCGGTGAGCTCCGCCCCGTTTCTGCTAGGGAGGGAACTTCGACCCTCACTCCCACGAAGACGGAGCCCCTCTGCGACGGGACCATCGGCACCTGTTCACTTCATTCAGCCAATCGTCGACGTGCGCGAACGACTCGCGGTCGCAAATGTCGTAGACCAAGATGATGCCGTCGGCGCCGCGGTAGTACGCGCTGGTGATTGTCCGGAAGCGTTCTTGGCCTGCCGTATCCCAGATTTGAAGCTTGATGGTCTTCCTGTCCTCAGCGAACGGTGATATCACTACTTTGTTAGGAAGTGATCCCGAGGTTGTTCCGCGTCTCAGAAGCGATACCTTCTGTTACTATCGAATCGGGACCCCCTAGGCTGACTCTGGGCTTCCCTAGGGTACCCCCCCCAGGTCAATTCCAACGATCGCAGCGTCCGTTCTCCAAGATTTTGCTCCACACACGGAGTTGCACACCGTGGTTGGATCCACACATAAGGTCCCCCACACACGCATAAAACGGTTCCACGCTAAAGGCTCCACGTGCATGAGCTTCCACACGTCGGGCTCATCAAACATAGGGTTACTCACAGACTGCTCGCTTCTGTTTAGATGATCGGGGTCCAACTGCTATTTCCATTACGTTTCCGTGCCATCATGGCTCACACCCATCTATAATGCATTATTGACGCAGATGGTGCACCTTTGCAGTAGTTCATTCCTGCCTCCTTTCAGCGCCGAAAGCTGAAATGCTGTCCATACGAGGGTCATGTTTCTGCCCTCGCCTCTGATTGCCAGTGTGACTTATCTATGTTGCCCACGCGTGTGAAGACTGCGATCCCAAAGAAGGCCGAAGCGCACGACCCACTCCGAGAGAGACCAAAGGAGGTGCCTGCGCCAAAGCACGGCGTGCCACCCCCAGGAAGCAGGCCGGCCAGAGCCCTCAAAATCCCGTGGCGGCGACGGCTGAACCTCGCGCACCAGGACGATTCCTGAGAGCCCACGTGGGGGGTTCCAGAAACCCTGAACCAAAGTGTTGTCCTAAAACAGGGCTAGGATCGGGATAAATCGCTCCAGAGCGTTCTGGAGCGCTCTCAGAGCGCTCCGGAACGCTCTGGAGCGGCCGCGGCGCCCAATACATCCTCCAAACCCGACGATCCTCAGAGATTTTGAGTTATCCCGATCCGACTTTGTCCCGATCTTCGCGTCGTTTTATGTCATCCCTCGGGAGCGCCTTGTTTCCTTCTGCCGGCCTCCGCCAGCGGAGCTGCCGCCGCTTTGCTTCTGCCGGCATATCCGCGGGCAGAGGGTCCCTCCAGGACGGGGCCTTTCCTGGAGCGCCTCGCGTGCCCCTTCTCCTCCTCCTCCCCCTCCTGCTCCCCCTCCTCCTCCTCCTCCTCCTCCTCCTCCTCCTCCTCCTCCTCCTCCTCCTCCTCCTCCCATGCGGGCTCGGAGTGTAGCCGTGAGGCTGAGAATCCGTATGTGCAGACACCACCCTGTGAACGAATACTACCATCTTGGTACTCCAGACTTCGTGAGAAAAGGGAGGGGGTATGGACCCTCCAAGACAAGCCATTTCAGACCTCCCCCGTGGGAGAACCCTCCAAAACATCGTCCCCAGACCCCCCAGGCCCTCCAAGATAGCCTGGAAGAGACCCCCCCCGAAATGAGACCCCCCTCCCTTTATTACGAAACCTGGAGTATCCGATCCGAGCACGCACAAGTGGGCACCACATCGCCAACGCCTACTCCCGCTTCGCGATCTACACGCTCTTCACCAAGGCCCTGGAATGAGAGCACCAAAGCACAAAGACGAGCGCTGCCGAAACGGATCACCTAAACACACTGTTAAACGTTTGCGGGGATGGCTCCCAACATCAATCGCCGACGCCTTCTGTGAAAATAGAGATAGAAGGGGATCATGAGACAGACGGGCCGCGCAAAAAAAACACGTACACCGTTTTCTGTTGATCGAACGACAACTTTCCGAAAGTATGTCTGTGCCCGCGTCTGCGACTCCCTCTCAACAGAAGGCGTCGCGCCTCGGCCACTGGTCTGAAGCTCCCATGACAGACAAGGCAAGGGACCATCGAATGAACGGACTGCGAACGACGACGCCCGATTCTTTGCTGCTGTACATACAGGCCCTCTAAAGATCTAACTGTGCATGTCCCCTCTGGCCAACGCCTCATCAGATCTGAGAGGGAATCGGGGGGTAACGAAACGGCATCGTCGCGCCGAATGAATACTACGTGGAGCCATGTGGTCTTCCCCGCAACCATCAAGGAATGTATGAATCCTGAGAACGACTGGTGCGCTGGCCGGAAAGCAATTCCAAGTCACTGCCACAATCGGCGCGCCGCCAATCGGCAGATCCATCACGATTGGCAAATAAGCTCGTCTAAGGTACCATCCACGGGGATCGTCTTGAAGCGGAAATCTACGCCTCCGTCCCGCTCTACGCACAGCTTTGATGACGGCATTGGGAGTGAGAGGGAGAGAGAGAGAGAGAGAGAGAACGAGAGAGAGAGAGATAGGTAACGAGAACGAACCAAAAAAACAAACAACGCGAAGGACCGAACGGGAAAAACATGGAGGAGGTTACAATGCTGGGCTCATGAAGAGACGTAATGGGAAATGTCCAAACACCCAAGAAACGTCCAGGCACCTCTAGGAAGCAACGGGATACCGCGCCAAACACCGCTCGTTGTTCAGCGAGGCCCAAACTGCTTTGAAACGAAAGAGAAAGCCCTCCCGCATGCCCAAGAGCGTGCGCCCCCGCCCGCCAAGCCTCTCATCATTGTGTGCACACATCATCCCGCCATCGCTGACGCCAGCCAATGTCCTCAACATGGTACTATCCAACTGCCAACCATCACTATCGCCATCAGAAGCATCATCATCACCACCACTATCATCACCATCGTCATCACTGCATTCATTACCGCCCCCATCGCCGCTCACATCGTATCGTTCCTGCCATCCTCCTGATCGCTATCACACAGACAGGCCCCACACAGACATGTTCAGTCGCAGCGCGTCAGAAGCGATCCGCTCGCGCGTCCAAGCAACCCAGGCTACACCCCACACGGGCAAGACGTATCCAGAAAGCGCCCGCGCGCGGCCAGAGGACTCAACAATGTACAACGCATTACCCCGTCTGGCACTGAGGACACGACACGTGGTGCACCACCCGCGGATGCACGCCCTTCTCCTCCCGTCTCTCGAGTTCCCATACCCCCCTCCCTCCCCCATCCGCCGCTCAAAACATTATGTTGCCCTCCTATTCCTTATGCGACATCCTTCCATCTATTCGCTTCTTCTCCCCGTGCTCGTATCCATCCCCTTCTCCCTTCGGCCCATTTCGGTGAGGTTGGGGGCCCGATTGGCTCGAGCAACCCTCCACTGTCCAGAGTTCCTGCAAGAGTATGAGCAAAGGCAGATAGCCCGAGGGTCTGCTGGGCCTCCTCGGACAGGCACCCCTTGGCCCCAGGCCAGCCGTTGTGTGTGTGTGTGTGTGTGTGTGTGTGTGTGTGTGCGTGTGTGCAAGCTCGAACGGCGCCGCAGGGGGGCACTGGAGCGCGGGGGGGGGCTCGAATCTCGAACAGGCGGTGCGGGGACGAAGCCGATCAGGAAACGAACGCCACGCGACGGGAGGGAACGGGCCTATCGTGGTGATGTAGCTGTCTGTGAACGCGTCATCCGCGAAGCGCAGCAGCAAGCACGACTTTCCCGCGCCCGAGTCGCCGATGAGCACCAACTTGAAGAGGTGGTCGTAGTCGCGCTTCATGCCCAGGGTACGCTCCAAACGTTGCGGGTGCAAAGCGTCTTGCCATGTTGGGCCAAAGCCATGCAGCGACAATAACAACAATTACCCTTGTGACCAGGCGGCAAGTCTGATCGACCGGCACGAAGTGAGAATATGGATATAGCAGTCGCGGCGGTGGTAGCGCAGACCTGCAAGCGATAGCGGCGTCATTGAAAGTAATGTGGATGATGCACACGGTAGCGGTAAGCGGCGACACGAATGCTTATTGTTTGGAAGAAATGGGTTGGGACATGAAGTTGGACGGCGTTGACAGTACAGTCGGGGCGTTGACCTAAGGAACCCTAAATAAGGAGCGAGGCCCCTTTTTCCCATAAGTTCAACCTCGATTGCCTATGGAAAACCTCAGGAAAACCCGAGGCAAACATTGAAACAATCAAGGAACACCGAGCCCCTCCCCAACGAAAAGGGTTCCTTCTTCAAGACCCCTACTGTAGATTCGGTTCCTGCCCGCCCCATGAAAGGAAAGCTATCCGACACACCTGAAGGAGCCTGGAGTACACTGGAGCCTGGCGGGGCCAAACACAGATCTTCCACACGAACGACGGGTACTCGAGAGCAGGGCTGCGCTGCAACTGTTGTGCAGCTTTCGAAGAGCTCCTGCCCCCGTGGGAAAAGCACACTGTGGGAAAAACACACACACACACACAAAAAAAAACACACACACACACAGTGTGCGTTTTTCCCCACATTGTGTGTTTTTCCCACAGACTCTACCCGCGCCCGACTGCGTGCCCCGCCCCCGCCTCCCGAGGCTGCACCGAGGTCCCTCAGGGGCCCCCCACGCCTCCGGGATCCTCGCGGCGGCTTCCAAGACGGCCTCCAGGGACGCCGGGATGCCCCACGACTGCTGCAACCTGGTCCCAGCATCACCCAGTAGGGCTCAAGTGTATTCAATGATTCGCCATCGAGGCTTCAGGAGGCGCCCAGGAAGTCACCAGAGGCTTCGAAGGCTCTCCAAAAGACTCCCACTAGAGGCCTCCGAAAGGGAAGCAATACAACAACACATTGCGTTTCAATGTTTCTGCCAGTCGCACGGGTTGCCTTACTAGGTGCTGCAATAAGCTCCAGGATGCCACCAAGAGCTCTCTCGAGAAAACCCAAGCAACATCAAAACGGCCCTAAGACGGCGCAGTAGCCCCCAGGACGGCCCAAGACCGCCCCGAGACGGCTCCAAGACGGCCCCCAAATCATCCCACACCGTTCCCAAGATGCTCGATAGACGGCCGTAAGCTTCACATAACTACCCCAATCCCCCCACACGGCCGCAAGACCCTCCAAGATTCAGAGAATACTCCTAACAGACTCCCAAAAGGCAGACCAACTCCCGTCTGACGCCGTCCAGCAAGCTCCTGGAAACTTGGCAACCGTCGACTTCGCATGTTTCGGCTGTTCCTTTTCTGGGGAACCGAACTGCCACGTGTTACGGCCCTCTGGGACTGAGGAAGGTCGTCCTCAACTGTTACATACTATTTGGGCCTGCGGAAGATCGCGCCTCACGTTGCAACTGTCTTGAATCTACAGGCGAACGCTGACACATGTTACGGCCACCCTGGCAGTTCTCGTGGCGTAACTTGCAGAAAGCGCTGGTAAGGAGGCGCTCGATACACCGAGTGCAGCTTTGGCACGGTGGCGCAGCTTGCCGAAAGCGCTGGCCCTGAGCACGAGTTAGTGCGTCCTCAGGTCCTTCAAATGCCCAGTCGCCCAAGCCCCGCATTCGCAGAGTTGCTCGTGCTTCCCGCGTGCTGGGGCATACTCCCGCACGACATCTCCGGAAGCAAGGGGGCCCCAGTACGGGCCAAGAGGGCCCCAGGAGGCACCCGAGACGATCCAAGAGGGCCCCGAGTCGGCGCAAGAGCGCTCCAGGCTGCCCAAGATGGCTCCAGGCGGCCCGAGATGCTCCCAAGACGAGGCCCTGAAGAGGGCCGCCAGTGGCCAACATCGTTCAATTATTGTAGGTTTTGGAGGGGCCTGGGCGCCGTCGCCTTGTCGGGCCCGTCGACCGACCGAGACGGCCCGAGGGGCCCCCCCAGATCGCCCCGACAGGCCCCGAGAGGCTCCCAGGAGGGCCCCCGCGCGGCCCACGAGGGGGACCCCGAGAGGACCCACGAGGCCGCCGAGGCGCCCCAGGACGGCCCCGAGAAGGGCCCCGAGAGGGGAAGCACGCCCCGCGCCGACGCGTCGAGCCCTCCGCCGCCTTCCGACGGCCCCCGCTCACGGCCGCGGCTGCCAGCACCCAAGGGACGCGGCGCGCCGAAACGGGCGGGCGGGCGCGCGAGGCACGCCGGCACGATGACTCGAATAGCGTTTTTGGTAATGGGATCTTCGTTCAGGACCACAGACCACTCACACTCACACTCACACTCACACTCACACTCACACTCACACTCACGCTCACACTCACGCACACACACATTCACTCACACACACGCACACACACATTCACTCTCTCTCTCTCTCTCACACATTTTTGGCATCGCGGCCCCGCGCGCAACGACAAGACTTAAAAACGTAAAAGAAGCGGCCGCGTACGCGCGTTTAGAGGCCGAGCCTTCAAGCCGCTTGGAAGAAGCAGCGCCCGCATCGGCCATAAATCATCCAGACCAGGAATGGATGACGGGGGGTCAGACGAGGGGGGGCGGACGAACAGAACCGACCGGGCCAGAAATCGACGCGGCCGAAGGCGGGAAAAGGACGGATTCAGAGAAAGAAATTACAGGGATGCCATGGCCAGGCGACTGGTAGAAGAGCGCGTCAAGGACCAAGGGGGCGGAAGGCCACACACACACACACACACACACACTCGCACACACACACACACACACACACACTCACACATACATCAACCACACACACACACACTAACCACACACACCAACCACACACACACACACACCAACCACACACACACACGCATGCGTCCGATGGGGTTTCGGCTGATCGCGCCGAAGGGCGGGAACGATTCGTTTTCAATTTGTCTTCCCGTCCCAGGAGGAGCTGAAAACTTCCCAGGTCGTCGGTTTTCCCGCGCCAGACGGCCACAGGATGCCATCCCAGACGGCCAAGATGCTCCCAAGATGGCCTTCAGATCGCCCAAGGCGGCCTAAGAGGCCTCCAAGAGGTCCCCAGGAAGGCCCGCAGAGGCCAATATCTTTGATTTTCCAGAAATGTTTGAACGATGTTGGCGGTTGCTCATTCTGGGCTTTCCGACGGCTCAAAAAAGGCCCTGGAGGCCGCCAAGATCGCCACGGTCCAACAGGTGCCCCAAGAGGCCTCTCCCATCTCCTCCTCCTCCTCCTCCTCCTCCTTGTCCCTCCCCCTCCTCCTCGTCTTCTTTCTCCCCTAAAGTGTCCCCCAACGAGTTTCCGAAACGGCGGGGGGAACCCACAGTCGGAACGCCTGGCCAAGCTCGGGTCGCAACGCTCGGCCCCAACGGCGCGTTCCCAAAGGCCGGGGGGCGGCCGTGCTTCGTCGTACGGTGGGGGCTCGGCCACAAGAAACCTCCCCTCCTCCTCCTCCTCCTCCTCCTCCTCCTCCTCCATCCTCCTCCTCCTCCTCCTCCTCCCTCCTCCTCCTCCTCCTCCTCC